TAATATAAACACGTATTACTCGAATGCTTTTCAAAAATAATAGGTCAAATCATTTTTTAAAAAAATGAAAATTGGCAAAAAATTCTATTTATAATTTTTCTTACGTTTTTAAAAAAAGGGTTTTTTATACATTCGTAAATGTTTCTGTATTATTCTATTTGTTTCGATTCGGAATATTCTACAAGTTCGATATATTGGGTACTGTTATATCGAGAATTGACTGTGTAATATATCAAACTGTATGAGAAAATACTAACATAAAATAATATAATTCTACTATATATATACACTAAATTTTATGTTTGATCAAATTAACAATCGTGGAAAAAATGATGCCATTCTGCAAAGAAAACTGATAAAAACAGAACTCTATTTTTTCTGTAAGAACATATTTAAAATTCTAAATTATTAAAATTTTTTATCAGTCTGAATTGTTATCGAATATATTTTAATAATAATTTATCTCTGCTTAAGTACGAAAACATTAATCATAAGTATCGACTGACAATTTCAATTATAATATTCTGGATTTGAATACTGATCCCACATTTAATTTGGAATATATCACGGTATACGATAAGCCACATTTTATATTTTTCATATTATAAACATAAAAAAAGAACTTTATTAAATTTTTATGAGTATAATATAATTTCTAATATAAAATGCAAAAAAATTCAATAATTTTTAACTAAGAATTTTGTGCTTATATGGTCCATCAATTATTTATTTCTTTACTTATCTGTTGGTATGTCTATTCACAAGATTTTTCAAAACTTAAAATAAAAGTATATAAAAATTAGCATAAAATTTCTTCCAAAATTAACTTGCAATAATCATTTGTGTTATAATATTTATTAGAGTAACTAAATCATAATAAAATTTTACGATATAATAATTATAAACTGCATAGTATTATAAGTGATGTATCTTATTACATCGGTCATGAAGAGATCTGTTAGTATATTATGACAGAATTTTCGGGCAGACATACACACGCGTGAAAGCATAAGAGCGTATGAACTTTCCATTATATATTATATATATAACAGCAGGTTTATATTTTTATAATACAAATAAAAATTCGTAAAAAATTATATTATAACATTTCAATAATTTGCCATATCATTCAATATTTTATTCCAAATTTTCTATTTTTGTTTACATACCATATTGAACAGATGTACTGTACAGTACTGTACAATACTAACAATTGAAAATTATGAGAATATATAAAATGAATTCCATTTTTTCTGATTTATAAATGACGTTTATTACGGTAGAACTTTCATTAATTATTACATTCTAAGTGTTGAAGTGTAAAATAATAAAATTAAAATTTTGTAGAATATTAATCAATTTAATACTTTGAAAATTTTTTTTATAAAAATAAATTATCCGCAAATATCTAAATTCCAAACTTCTACACAAGAATTCTAACGACGTTTTGGAATGCAAAAAAGTAATAATAAAATAAATAAATAAATGCCAATTTCGTTCATAAAGTTCAGGAAAAAATAAAATATTTTCCATTGCTCAAAATCAAAAGAACCAACAGAGAATTACCAATTCAATTTCTATTTATTTTTATTCATTTACAAGAAAACAAAGCATAAATATTTTATGTAATATTAAATATAGAGGCCATATATTTTATCAAGTCACAGAGCCAATTTATATAAAATATAATTTATTAATATATAAGCAAAAATATATTTAAACGTAATTAAAATATAAACAACTTTCTTAAGACAGTCGCATAATAATGCTCGCGCATATCTTGACTCGAATAATCTTATTTTTTTTCATTGGAAGAGGAGCAGGAATCAGTCAAGATAATTAACGTATCTACAACAAAGGTGTTAATCCAGAAACAATTTGAGCGTAAGGAATAGTCAGGTGGAAAAATGTAATTATTCTTCGGCACAACAATAACACGTCCTAAAGATGGTAAATGCTGACACAAAACAAAGCACTCGACCCGAACACAATTATTTAACTTCATTATCTTATTTTCTCAGATTTGTTTTATTTTTTACTTTACAATATTCTAGATAAAGAGAGTAAATCTCGTTTTTTGTCTATTTGCCAACATTTTTATGTTTTTAAAAAATATTATTGACCTTTCTGCTGGGACGAGTGCGGATTTTCTTATCTACTTAACCATTAATTTATAAATATTTTAGTGATATTATTTGGAGAATAGCGGTTAATTAGAATGTCCTTGTTTTGGCATCGACTTTAATTATATTTCTAATTTTACCTCTGGCATGATTAAGCAATTCATATTTTAGGTTTTCTAAGAGAGAAAAGATTAAGATCTTAAATATTTAAGAATAACGAAGATTGGAAATTTTATATAAAAAATTAAAAATCCTTCTATGAATGTAACTTTTTTATTTTTTAAAAAAATAATTATCTCTCTGGAAAAAATACTTCTATATATTTAAAAAGGGATTAATAAAAACAGACAAATCTTTCCAGAGTTATATCTTTAAATATTGGATTCTTAAAAGTAGAAAATTGTTCTCTTCCTTAAAAATCCAATATTTAGTTTAATTTTTAATAAAATTAATTTTATATACTCAGTAGTTATAGTAGACAATCTTTCTTATTAGTTAAAACTTTCAGTATTTTTTCAACACTTTTTGCAATTATCTATTACAACAAAATAACTTTCTAATAGAATATTTTCTTGTTTTAATTTAATGTGCTTTCTGTTTGAAAATATCTAAATATTTACGCCCAGAAAATTATGTCTTTATAACACACAATGTGTATGTAACGAAAAGATGTAATATTAATATTATAAATAAGAGAAAATAATGAGATACATTTTTTCTAATTTATATTTATTTATTTTTCTAAAAACTTATTTTAAAATATATAAAATTACATCTTTAGAAGTTTTGAAACTTTAAAATTTTATATTTTGTATATTGGAAACAAAGATATTTATTTTTAACGAGCAATTATTTATTGTGACATCGTCACAATGCCGGGCTGCAGTTTTTTAATCATAATTTTAATTTATTTAATTTAAAATATATGCTCTTCGCCTCAAATTTGTAGTGGTTTGCCCCTGTACATCATACTTTTCCTTTAACAATAGAGTCGTGCTGGTCATTTATCTGTCCTTTCAGGGAAAAATTTTGAATTGAAATAACGTTAATCGGGGCTCCTACTCCTAAGCTTTTCATATATTTCTTGATTTTCACTCCTTTTTCTAGATTTAAGAAAAGACAGACAGACCGCCAGACAGACGACAGTGGGAAATTATAGGACTACATTTTTTTCAAATCGCAGCCCAAAAAATAATAACAAAATTAAAGCATTATAACTTATATTCAGTTTCGGTTTTTCGAAGATATGTTATACTTACCATTATGCAAATAAAATCTATTATACTATAGTAAAAAAACACAAGTACTGTAACTATTGACACTGTTTCCACATCATAGTAAATTACTGTAATTATGCTTGCTGTAGTTAAGTGTAATTTTTGTTCATGTTTCCAATTTTATAATTTATTTTTCATTTTAATCCCATGAAAATGAATTAAATGTAACATCTTTTCTATTTATAAATAAATGAAGANTTGTTTATTATTTTGTATAGGCCAATCTACACACAACACTATTCTTACATTCCTATATTTACTTTGAGAACGATAATTTTAACCAATGCCACTAATTCAGATGTTAATGCAAGTCGAACGACCATTTAAAAACTAGATAAATTCGCAACTTTTGATTCAAATTAGAAAGTTTAAACCGCAAAGAATTTTTATAAGATGATTAATCATAATGTTAATGATTCATTTTATTGCTCTGGGGGACTCGAAATAGAATCATGGATGGATGGGTGGAAAAATCTGGATGGGTGGAAAAATTTCCAGGAATTTTTCGGGGGGATGGATGGTTCGTCCGGATATATTGAGTCAGGTGCCTCACTATCCAACAGCCCCATTGTGAGCCTGGCCGAACCCATAATAGGCTTGCCGAAAAAAGAGATCCTCTTAGTGCCCACTGGATGGAAAGAGTTAGTTCTTAAAAAGGAAAATAGTTTAATTTTGAGGGTCAGGATGAATTCTGTACAAAAAAAAACAAATGTAAATGCTAATAACGAATAAAATTGTCATTATGTCCAATTTTACTTCAGATATGACACACGACCCCCCTTTATCGCCCCATCTCCTCGACTTTTAATTACCAAAATTTAATATCATCAATCCTCCTAATAAGCAAAGCTCCCTGCAAAATTTCAGAAATTTCGACAAAAAGCACAGGAGTTATTAAGCTTCAAAGAAGGAGAAAAAAATCGCGCTCACCCTACACACAAAAAACATCTATACGTACACAAACATCCATACATACAGAAAAAGTCTCCGAATGCTTTTGCTTTTATCGACGTTTCAACGTGCTCTAAGTCCAAAAAATGAAAAATCTTCGGAAGTTATTTTTTGACCGATCGCCAGACTTTCCCTCTGTTATGTATAAAAAAGTCGAAAAATTAAAAATTGTCAAAAAACACATACTGTAAATCATTGTACGATTACGATTTTGCTGGATATTTTGTTTGCAAAGGAACATATTTACGAGAAAATGGTCCCTAATGGATTTCACCAATTTTATAAATGCAAACAGGCTTAACCAGACTCACAGTACCTCATTTACGACGTTAACAATTTTTCATGTTTTTCCAGTTTCTAGTGCATCTGCAATTAATTCTTTATAAGATTCATTTCGCGAAAAAGAACATAGGCCAAACTTGATTTGTTATCTTTATCTCTGAAATCGAATCGTTTTTCTACATGAGCTTACAGGCGTTTCTGGCAAAGTTACAGTACAATTGTTTATGAATTATACAATAGAATTCACAAAATACATATCATATTTTCTATATTAAAACTTATATGATAAAGTATATTATATTCTAGTAAAATATTGTAATATCTTGTATAATAAATTACCTAAACAAATTAACGATTTTTTAATTAGGAAGCGGATATTGGATTTCCTACAGGAATAACATACGATAGATTAGAAGCGGTGGATTATACTGACATCTATCATGTATTGAGAGTGAATTTCTACACAAAAAAACCTGACGAATTATCAAAAATGCTAGCAGTGATATATCCATTTGATATTTCGGTATGTTAAATAAATTTTATTACTAACTGATTATTTAATATGAATAAATAATTTTTATGCATAACCTTATATAAAATTAGAAAATGCTTTCTATAAATAATCAAAAAATTTAAATATTTTCATATATTAAACTTTTGATTCAACGTTGGTTATCAAGATGGAGTCCTCACAGAAACTATGATTATATTATTGCATTCAGATTTTAGAAAGTACAAAACAGTTGTAATCGTTATTGCAATTCTTTGCACAAATTACAACTGTGATAGTTTTTCCATTTCTTTCATATACAAAACACTTGCAATTAGAATATTATAATTACTTTTCGATTATCCTCTTGGACAATACTGTATAAGCATATAACTCTCTTCCTGTGTCCTACTGTTGTCCTCATGTTCATGGAGTGTTTTGTGATATGACTTTTCGTGCAACAGATAGTCATGTTGCTTCGAATGACGGCACTAATAGCCTATTCTACGTGCAAATTGCTTAATTAATATTAAAACAGTTAATTATAGTCAAATATTATACCAATAATTTCGATAAAATTTCAGCTTATGATTACTAAATTCACGTTGTATATTATGCATATGAAAGAACTAGCTGTTACTCGCGGCTTTTGCAAGCAAACCCCATTTACATTCAATATTTCAACAACCATAGTAATTGTTATATAACATCTACCGCTGAGAATAATGAGAATTGCCGAGAATCAAACGAACTATTTTCAATTTAATCAATTTTCTGGAACGTTTACAATCGTTGTATAAACGAATCAATATGCAATAACAAATTCGAATTTAAAACGGTTCGAACATTTTTAAAATCGACATAGATAAAAATATTTATAACAATGTCTGAAATGCTATTAATTTAATACACCTAAGTACTCGATGAAGACTAAATCCTCTCCTTATCCCGCCTACGGGAGAATTTCGAAAAATCCTTTCTTAGTGTGCATTCTCATGGCATACCCTACCACAACGCAGATAAAAACAAAAAAATCGCATCTAAAATAGTACAGTAGAAGCCGTTGTTCCGGTTAAGCCTTAATTCTTTTCCTCTCCCCCGCGGAGGAATTTCGAAAAATCCGTTCTTAGTGTGCGTTTCCATGACGTACCCTAACTGTCTACCAAATTTCACCACTTTAGGTTCAGCGGTCTGCTCTGGGCGATGATGAATCTGTGAGAAAGTGAGTCATTCAGTCAGTCAGGACAAGCAATTTTATATATTTAGATTATATAACTAATTATCTTATTCAATACAACAATCGACTATGACCATTTTAAAAAAGGTTTAAGTTTACCTTATTATAATTTTTAGTCTTTTACAATATTTGCTATGTATAGTGTTTTAACTTTTAGGCCTACTAATACGGATTTATAATAAATTTTTACATTTAGTGAATTTGAAATGACAAAATGTATACATTGTATTCAATTGAAGAAATAGTTACTTTATTTTTCTATTCAATGTTGCATATTGCATTAATAATTTTTTATTTAATTCTTTTAGGTGTGGATAGCAACAGTCATATTTTTCGTAATTAGCAGTTTGTCATTTTATTTTATCATCAATCATAGCCGAAAATTGCACGAAAAGAGAGAAATAAAGTTATACGACATCATATGGGCTCTTTTTGGATCACTTACTGATCAAGGTACCGTAACAATTCATTTTAATTTTTATATTTAATGACGTTATAAAATAACTAAACATTTAAAATATTTACTTATTTCGAATAATTTATTTAGGAAATGACATTTTTGAGATGGATAAAAGCAACAGAATAATGATATTTGCATGGCTAATTTCGTCGTTTATACTTGTGTCCAGTTACAGTGGGGCGATTATGTCTTTTATTATTCATGCCGGTCACGAAGAAGTTCCTCGTACATTTCAAGAATTAATTGCAGCAATTAAAGAAAATACCTATAGAGCTGGAGCTTTATTTCATACTGGAGTAGGAAAAAATGTTGATGTAAGGTTTTAACCATACGCTAATTCAATCTAAATTACTCTGTGATAACAATCTTGTTTCTATAAAAATCAGGGTGTATATTGTTTGGGACATTCAAAGGTATTAATACAACTGATAAAGACTTGCGTATAAAGTCAGACCTAGTAGAATAGTGCATAATAAATTACATTAATAATATAAAATTTATTTTTAAAACATTTTTAAAAACAAATTTTAAAGCGAAGTAAAAACTTTACTAAGCAAATTGATTGTTTTTTAGAAACAAAATTAAACAAACATCACTGTTCTTAGCCATGTATTATTATAATAGATTATTTCTAATGTAAAAATTATAAATGATAAACAGAAAATAATCTTATAATACGTATTATATACATATAATTTACGTATGTATACAAATTATTAAATATGAAAAATGAAAAATATATTAAATAACTTATCTAATATTTTCCCTGCTTAATTAAGTAATTTATTAAACGTTTAAAATAATTAGTGAGTTATCATTATTGATAGACTTATTTATCTACAATACTAGTTTAAACTTGAAGTTTCATCAATTTTTCGAGGAAATATTTTCGTTGAAAAATTGACCTTTTAAAAGAATATAAGTTTAAAGTTTATATGACCATAGGATGCTACTGAAACATCGCCGTTACTGTTTGGGATAAAGAAATTACACGAACAAGGAAAAGTCATAAATATTGGACCGAACGACGATGTTTACGAATTACTTTTGATGAAGAAATTTGCACTTATACACTACGATATAGACGGAAAAGCGTATACCAGTGCTTTGGGAATTAATAACTATATATATTCAAAAGAATCTCTTTATTCCCAGTATGAAATATTGGCTATAAGAAAGGAATTTCCATACAAACAACTTTTTAATAAATGGTAAGTTATTAATTAAAGGAATATTTCATTTTTTTTATTGATAATTATTTTTATCGTTTAGCATTCGTCGAATAATAGAAAGTGGATTATTTTGTTATACTGTAAATTATCAAGTAAATAAACTGAGACATACAAAGGTAATTCCAGAAAAAGATACGGATCCCAAACCATTAACAGTGGAAGATTTAATTGGAGCATTTTGTGTTCTTATAATTGGATACGTTTTATCAATTTCAGTATTTATTTTAGAGCTATTAACAAATGTAAGCAAATTTTCAAAGCTATTAAAATCAAAAAAGTCTACTTCAGTTTTTCTCAGCGAGTAAGGTGTTTCGAGAGTTTCCTAGTTTATTTCATTTAAGATCTAAAGATAAATATAAATATTTCAGTATGTTGGAAAACAATTACTAAATCTTGTTTAGTTTAAAATTCGTTTCTATCCATAAGAAGAAAAATCGCTTACTAATCTTTTAAGTAATATAGTTTTCAATCAAATTATAATTTTTTGTGTGTCTATGAACATTAGAAATATATAAAATTGACTTATTGAAAGTTCTTTCTGTAAATTACAATTATTTTTGAAAATAATTCAGAAAGAAAAAATATTTTTTCAGTAAAATATACAATTGATTCGAAAAGAAGACATTTAACCGCTATGTAAATCAAAGTTGTATTTTGATGTAGTTAATCAGCTAACATTAAGCTTCGATTCATATATTTCTAATTCCAAATATTGGAGCTTATATTTAAACAGACAATTTTTTAATATGCATTTCCGAAGATTTAAAATAGTGGTTCTATTCTTTTTTTTTTTTCATGAGATAGAATTATTTTTCAAACTGAAATAATGTAGCCTTACTTGTATTACTTATTCTTAAAAGTTTACTCTCGTAGTACAATACTACTATTTTTCTGTATAGTCAAAGTCTCGAATAACTTAACCCTTATTCTGAACGTAAATACTCATAATTATTAAAGGATCTGAAAATATTGAATATGTCATATATCGTTAAGTGATATATAGTATAACTCGTTTAATAATAATCCCTCTTTTAAAGTCCAATTCAATTTAGACATTAATTGATAAATTAAAAATTTTGAAATTATAATAATCTGTATTTGTAATGTTTTTATTCTATTTTCTTAATAAAATATATCAGAAATATATAGTATCAATTTTGCACAGTGAAAATGGATTGTCATTACAGATAAATCAATAAAATATTTGAATTTATATTCATTGAAATATATAGATATTGTTAAAAGTATTTACTATTGTAAATATAATAACGAATGCTCAAAATAATTAGTTTCTTTTCTGTAAAATAATTTGTAAATTAATTTGAACATTTTACATGATAGAATTGAAATTAGTGACATTTTACACTGATAATCATTAATTAAATGTGTTAATTTAGACACTTTCAAAATCTCTGTAGTATAAAAGGATAGTTTAAATTTAACAACACAATACAATTAAATTATTTAATATCTGAAATTATATATCTTTCTTATATTGTTATTCGTATTACCGTAAATATATTATATATATTATAAAATGTACTTATTAAAAGATAATAAAAGTTGAAAAAAAAAATTTTTTTCATTAATAATAATTACAATTTTTTTCGAATATTTTTTTATACGTAGAAAACAGCTTATTTTCGTAAGGTCTTACCAAACTTTAGCAATCTGTTCCATAGGACAAAAAAATGAGAAAATTCCATATAAAGTAAGTTCCAAAGTACTCCATTTCCAAATTTTTCTATTAACGTTTTTCAAACTGTAATTTACTGTGGCCTTTGTGTATGACTTTTAAAATCTGCGATGATGGCATCATACCAACAATTATCAATTTGTATGCCTGTATTATAATTAATACTATTTTCATTTATTATTATTTCTACGTGTTGTTTAAATTATCTTTTATGAATGCTTTTCTCTATATAAATAATTTTAACAATATTTACATCAATATTACATTTATTATTTTTCGTATGTTTATCACAATGTGTCAAGTAGATCAAAACATGAAAACAGCAGGGTGTCCAGATTTTATGGACGTCTGCGTTTTTCTTCAGAGTCCGAGTAAAGCAAAAATAATTTGAAACAAATCGACCAAGAATAAAAGAACAGATGGATACAAACATTCTACTTTATATATATGTGTGGGTAACCTCTAGTTCAACTTAACTGTCGAGGAACCGTCTAGTCCAATGTTCTGTTGGAACAGTTCTGTATTGGGATCAGTTCCAATTCCAGAATCAGAAATGGATTTCCGAACTCTATTTACTACAATGTCCTGCCCTACCTACACCTAAATGCAATTTAGCATTGCACTTTCAAATTCTAAAATATTTTTTATTTATGTAAGTATTTCTTTGTCTAATTTTAATTAATTGCTTAAATTCTAATTAAAGTTTTTTTATTGTAAATTTCTATTGTAACAGATTTATCTGTTAAACTAAACAATAAATTAATTACCTTAATGGTACAGTTAAAAAATATCTGTAGTATACTGTAATATAAAAACAGAGTTTTAAATTTAATAACCCAGATGAATTAATGTTGAAGTATTTAATTAATATCTGAAATTACACGTTTTTCATACATTGTTATTTGTGCATGATCTGCAATAAGTCCGTAAATATTTAAAAATTTATAAAGCATCACATTAAAATATAGTTGGCGCTAAGAAGTACAGTATTCTCAGAATGGGGAATTTTTTACAGGAAAAAATTTATAAATACAATTATAAAAGTCACTGATAGATTTCAGCTAGATACCCACTGATGCACAAATTTAAAAAAAAAATACCGTACAGAAGCTTTATCAAAATTTGCAACAAGCACAATGGCTATGTAACAGATGAAACCATCTTTTCATTACATGGAGAACTGAACACACTACAGATGCATATCAGCACCTGCCTATCCACATGCGTACACATCGAAATTACTTCATTCACCTTGTGGAATGGCTTTCTGCCTCTTACATAGTGGGATCGTTTTCTTTAAAGGGCTTTGCCCAAGAACTGGCTGAAATGCTACCATAGTCAATACACAGCGTGATTTGATACCGTTACGTGTGCAAATCGTGTCCTGTTCATAATACAGAAAAGAGCTGCCGACAGGTTGCTTCTCCAGTAAAAAATTTCTGATCAAAAGGTTTGGTAAAGAAGGTAATGAGTTATCAGTTGGTATAGCACGATCCCCTGGCTTCCATGGTTTCCAGATTTGATATCAGTAGATTTCTAGTTATGGCGTATTTTAGTAATCTACAGTGTATCATTGTCGGAAACGAAATATGCTATTAGGAGTGAAGTGAGTTCCATCTATCCGAATACGCTATACTCAGTACTCGAGGACGATGTTACTCGCCTCAGTTGTGTCATACACTATGTCAAATAAACTTTATATTATTTTTACCAAGATAAGAATTTTTGTATTTAAATTTCGTGTATAAGTGCCTCAATTTAAAAAAGGAAGTTGATCTAAAAACAATACAAACGTAAATATAAATTATTTACTTATCTTCAACTTATTTTCAAACTACTGTTTCTACCCACATTTTTTGACATACAATTATTCTGTTAATTATAAATATTTATATCATGAAATACTTGTACAATTTATAAACAACTTCAATGTTTATTGTATTCAGTTTGTATTTTTCTTTGTATTAAATTATTATATAAACTAACGGATGAGTTCGGCGTTGCCCGGGTAAAAAATAACAACAAAAGTTAACATCAAAGCTGTAGAGTCGTGTAAAAATCTACCGACTCCTACTCCAACCAGGGGCGGACTTGTTACCAAAATAGACCCGGAAATTCTGATGTCATCTCTGGACCTCAGAATAAAATATTCAATAAATATAGTTTTATTAAAGATAGAACCTAGAAACTTTTTTATTCCAAAGCTAAAAGACTCCTCTTAGCAATGACACAATCAATATCCAAATTAGTATTCGATAATTTTTTTCTTTACTGGTTGATATAGGGGAGATCGGGGCAACTTCGGCATGCGGGGCAAGTTTGTCAAGCGCTTTTTTTNTTTAAAACAGTGGAAGAGAATAATCTGAATTGAACTTTTATATTACGAATTTTTAATTTAACAAATAGTTTAACTAAATTGTTGATCAAGGTAGAAGCTTTAGTTTTAATTCTCTTGAATTGCTTTTCGAACGACAAAGTAGATGTGAACATTATACCCAGAAATTTCATCTCTGAGACGATTAAGAGTCTTTCCTGATTAAGAAAAAAAGACATATTTTTTTGGTAAATTGGTACCATTTCGAAAGATCATTACATAAGATTTTTTGGGTTAATTTTTAAATTAGAGTCTTCACAGTATTTTTCCAAAGCTTTAATTTTTCGTCGAAGTGCAGCTGCAGTCGGCGCTAATACAACAATATCATCAGCGTATGATATGGAATGAACTATCTGATCTGAAAACCAAAAACCGTCATTGTCGTTTGTAAAACATTTAGATCAAGAAGATAAAAATTAAATAGATAGGGAGACCATGGGTCCCCTTGTATCAATCCTCTGTTTATTTTTATACTTGACAATATGGTATTATTTTGTTTTATGTTTATATCATACTGACCAAACAACAAACCAACTGCATTAATCAGTTTAACCTCTGCTTGACATTTAAACATTTTATTTTGTAACTTAGATATTGAAACAGAATCATATGCTTTTTCTAAGTTCAAAAAAGGGCGAATACTTTATGTCGCTTTTTTAGTAGTTGTAGTTGTATTATTGCCGTAAGTACAAACAATGTTATAAGAGTACCACCATCTTTGTTAAAGGCATATTGAGTATTATTTTTATATCCATTTATAGCTATCCATTCATTAAATTTTGACGATAATATAGATGTATATAATTTTCGTAAGACAGATAATAAAGCAATCAGTTTATAGTTGGCTGGTTGACTTTTATCTCCCTTTTTAAAAATCATATATAAAATTACTTTATTCCAATTATTAGGTACTGTATTATAGACTGATTATATAAATCATTAAATTTTCTGGTTAAATACTTAATCATTGAACTTAGTAAAATTCTTTATTATTGAATTTGTTATATTATCGTAACCTGGGGCTGTTTTTTCTTTCAGTTTATTAATATGAGAATACAAAATTTCCGAATTAAACATATCTCCATTTGATTGACTGTTTTTTCCTTCTTGAAAAATCGTTTGCATTCCATTATAAATTGAATAGCAATGTGAAAAATCACTAAAATACTTATGCCAAACATCGTAAGAGATAAATGAGTTGTTAATACTCTTGGTATCTATACGAAAACCATTTATAGTCTTCCAAAACAGTTTAGAATCCTTTT